AACCTTTCTTACTACCGACAGACTTTCTCGTTTCGTTTGTTCTCCGCCCGTGTCATTCGTTATTACATCGTAGAAACTCGCAGATATTTGGAATTCCAAGTGACGTCTAAAGGCGGCCGGCGCTTTAACCGATAGCTCGGTTTCTTACCTTAAAGGAAATCGTGTTCGACACCGCTTTTGTTAATATCCTTGCTCGAATTCTTGTCGCGCATACATACGCAAGTACATGTTTTGTGTGCATTATGTACGTGGGACTGCAAGTATTATCATACTTGCTTTTAGGTATGACGTACAAATGTATATGTATTCGATTGTTGCACGTATGTGTGTTGCACAGATATGCGCGAGCACGTCTCTGGATACAATCGTGATATAATACCGAAAGTAGTACTACTATTCGGTTTATCCTAAATCCGCACTCATCCGGTGGCCCCATCCTGTAAAACCAACGAACGCACGCGTCTGCTCGCGATATCGGTTGCATTTGCATAAGGCTATCGTCTTTCCTTTGTTGCGGACTCACCTCCCACGTACGTGGCGAGGCTGTCACTCAGAGTTTCAGAACTCTCCTCAGTCTTCTCTCGCATCAACTGTGGTTCAGTATTCTCTCTCTCTCTCTCTCTCTCTCTCTCTCTCTCTCTCTCTCTCTCTCTCTCTCCCCCCCCTCTTTCACTCTCTCTCTTTCTTACTCTTTCCTTCCTTTCCTCTCTCTCTCTCTCTCTCTCTCTCTCCCCCCTCCCTCCCCCCTCTTTCAGTCTCTCTCTTTCTTACTCTTTCCTTCCTTTCCTCTCTCTCTCTCTCTCTCTCTCTCTCTCTCTCTCTCTCTCTCTCTCTCGCTCTCTCTCTCTCTCTCTCTCTCTCTCTCTCTCTCTCTCTCTCTCTCTTTCTTTCCTTCTCTTTATCTATCTATCTCTCTTTCTTTCTCTCGGCATTTCTTCCTTCTTTCTCCCTCTTTCTCAATTTTAAACCTCCCCATAGCAAGTAAGCAACCTACACCCTATCTTCGCTACCTTGCCTGCATTCCTGCATACTATTACACGGACCTGTGCTTGCATGTTTCGTTCGCAACTCATGCTTACTTGTTCCAAATAAAATTGTGCCTCGCTAGATAGCCTTGGTTCACAGATTCCCGAATTACGGAATACTTCACGAGACATCCGATATAAGCAAGAACTGTATAAATATTTGTTTAACTGATATTTCAGCGGACGGTTATTGCAAACGTCGAACAAACGGCTCGAGTGCCGAATAATTGCACAAATAATTATCGTGACCTTGAATTTTGCTCTTGAATTTTTCGGGAAATTTTACAGCATCAACATAGTCACATACATATATCGCAATTTGTTTATTTATTTTCAAAATTTCCGTTTTCCTTACTCGGCGAAACGAAAATTAGTAATTTGTATCTCCAAGTTCGATAACGATAACTCAACGTTTGTTCCCCTTGTCTCATATTTGCCGCCGTGCAACCGTCAAAGAACATACCGAGTGTCAAGATAAGGATCTTGATATCGCGGCGCGATAGCCAACCAAAACATTTCGGGCGGCCGCGAATGGACGGATGGGCGCAAAACGTACAAAACGTACAGAAAGACAGTAGATCCGAGCGAGATCCAGGGTGTTCCGCTAGTGCGTTACTCCGCACGCTCCTCAAGTAACTCACTTCTTGCCCGTGAATGCGGAGGTCTTCATGGTTTCGCCGAGTCGCCTAACTGGGGATGGAATGGAACGTACTTGGTGGATACGGGAGGAGAGAATGGAGGCCGCATTAATAAAACATTAAGGTTTTGTAGACGATGTATCGATGTAGTGTTTATATTATCTTCTTTGATGTCGACATGTGAATTGGACAGATTTGTTATTCAGACTCCGTACATAAAAGTGCTGAAGTCTTGCTCCGCTCCGTTTGTGGACAGGGCGCGTATCGACGACGACAACTCGGACACCGACGGACGGCTGGACGAACGGACGGACGGACAGACAGACAGACAGACAGACAGACAGACAGACAGACAAACAGACGAACGGACGAACGAACGGACAAACAGATAGACAGACAGACGGACGGACGGACGGACGGACGGACGAACGGACGGACGGACGGACGGACAGACGGACAAACGAAACGAACAAACGCGAGCATGGATGGATGAACGCGGACAGCCTGCTTCAAGTCCGTGCTCCGCTTGTCAGTCAGTACGTAGAAGAGTGGTCTTATCCGTGCGCGTACGCGTGCGCGTGCAGTCAGCTCGTCGCTTACTTGGAAAACTGTTTCCTGCAGTTGGAATATTTTTCTACGTTGCTTCTCGTGAAAGAGATGAAATATATCGCGAAGACAAGAGAAATGAGCTCTTATGAAGAAATTAAAATTTATCTTATATAACGCGCGACGTACGACGTGACGGACAGGATTTCTCTTCTGGTTCTTTATTTTTCTCTTCACTCTCTTCTTTTTTCCTTGCAAACGCGGGAATAAAATTATGGATGAGAGTAGTATGTTTTTTTCCGTGCGACGTCTCGAAATCTCGTTTCGTACTGTTATACGTCTCGATGTCGAATCATAGTACAATTGCTCCTACACCTTAATTTCACAACGAACGGACTACACCCACTCGTTCCTTCGAGCCGCGTGGTATCGACATTCTTCGCGATGTCGTGCTCGGGACTCCGCGATCCCCCTCCTACTCTCAACACGGTACTGTGATCCTGAACCTTGACTCTTCATTAATCACCCCGTGGTATCAATGACTGACTGAGTGACTGACGGCAGGCGAGAGGTATTATATACCTACGGTGTTCGCGCGATGCGCTGATGTTCGTCGTGGGGATCTTTCTCGTGCCTGATAAACTGACGAAGAGAATCTTGTCTGAAAACTTTCTTATGCTTTTCCTCGCTGTCTCGTATAATACCTAAAAAAAAATAACCTATTAAAGAAAAAGATAAGAAAGCGAATGAATTATCGCGATGTGACCGATATGTCGATGTTTAGCACGACATAATGAGAAAAAAGAAGAAAGAGGAAAAACACACGTCGCGTTTCGCACACGTAGGTGGAAATCGTAGGTGGAAATCAGATCTCTCTCGAAGCAATTAAATTTGTCGCTGTACACGATCACATGCACGCCAATTAGGGTAAGGAGCGAGTTAAATGTCGTGACGTGAAGTGCATTTAAAGCTTAAGTCTCCACCAGTCTTGACCGATACTTTCCGATAAAAAAGGCAGTCCAATTGGATCGAAAGGTCACGACCTTACGGTGGCCGGCGCCACAGTGAGTTTACTCTTCATTTATACGGTACTCCGTTACGGACCAAACACTGAAAGTCACGGTTACCTTCTCGCAGCCTCTAACAAAGGTGCATCTACGGCCCAATCGAATATGCGCCGTCATCGTCGGTAGCTTAGACGATCTGATCATCCCAGTGAGCCTTGCGACGGATCGTGACTTGCGGTTAAAGCCTTGTCTTCTCTTGTCTTCTTGTTACATGACTCCTGTCTGTTTCTGTAGTTTTCGAGGGTGTGAGTATGCTTTATCACACACGCCTCCTTGCACAGCCGATACGCGATTCTTATCACGGCGCTTTCAGTCTGAGTAAAATGCGGACTAGACGAGTGCATATATATATATATATATATATAAATATATTTTACGAACGTAAGCCGATATCATTTAAATCGTTCGATTGGTCGGAAGGCCAATTAATTTCACAGATCAGAAATAATCGATCAGAAAATTATGCGTATGCGCTTATCGCACATGATAAATGTAGAAGCGGTCGGGAAAGCGTTTGTACAAATACAGCCAATGCACAGACAAATAAACCGAATCAAAGTATTAATAATAGAATTGACTGGACTGGTTATTTGAGATGAATAAGGTCACTGTAATTTTGGATTAGCATCTAATCGGAATCTTACTAATAACAGTAGCACAGTAGAATTTAAGATATTTGCGTGTAACTGAAATAACGAGAGGCGTTATTAGGAAAGAAGAGTCTGCACCATGGTGAAGATAACCCCTCGCGTAGCCACTGCGTAATCTTTCAACTTCGACACTATCGTGCTTTACGTACGAGCAATAAAAAAACATGCGCCAAATATCATATCGACAATTATAAACACAACAATTATCGTCGTACAAGACGTGCGTCATGATCGACAGTACTTCATGCCGCCGGGGCCAGTAACTCCCTTTGTTACATTGCTGCATTCACGTATCCGACAAATTTTTTAAATTGCCGCGCATGTGATAACACCGTGATTGTGCACGTTGTGATGAGGACATTAAACCGCGATACGATAAACTCGCGGTACATATTTTTCTGCTTTTTCTTTTCCATTCTCTTACTGGATCCGGAAAGAAAGAAACATCGATGATTTCTGTACGTCATACCATTTAATAATTACAATTTAAATTATATAATTATACGATCTTACACGTACGGTGCTCTAGATTACGTAGATGTAATAAGTAGGTATTTTTAGTTAGACTATTACGTATATTACATGGAATGAAGTAACATTTGAGTGACGCTACGCGAACGTAATATTTGAGCTTAATTTAACTCGGAGAACGCATCCTTTGCACCTGACGAGTAAATAGTAAATATCTGCAGCTTTCGTTTCACCTCTCACGTCAAACCGCGAGCACATACTACGAACGACTTTGAATCGATTTTCGATAAGCATCGAGATAGCACAACTACGTATCCCGCGATGTATCTCGTGTAAAAGAGTAATTCAAATCTCGCATCATTTATGCACATCGTTTATAGGTACGGAACGTGTTGCACGACACGCGGCGTAAACAACAAAAAAAATAATAATAACGAAACAAATAAAATACAATATTAACACTGGACCAAGTCATTAGTAACAGACTCACTCTCAATACAATAATAGAGATAATATCAAGAATTTCAATAATGATCATTATGACGATAATAATAATAATAATAATAATAATAATAATAATAATAATAATAATAAAATCCTCACTATATACTTTATTTAAATATCCTTATAATGTACCAGGCGATAACGAAAAAAATTACATTTTTCTCTAGATACATTGGTTGCAGGAAAGAATGATCTCTCTTCTTATTTTACATTCCAGATGACGTCTCCAAATTGTAGACTCAAATATAATTCCGGTATCGTGCAGTCTGCTTCCTCAATTACAATTCATTCGCAAAAGAGTTTCGGATTTCAGTAACATTTTACCTAGGCTTAATCTAATTTTCGGTAATTCATAATTCGTACGACGAATTGTAGAGGGTCTTTGAGGACGAATAAAAGAGGACTTTTTTCATTAACGCCTCGTACATAGTAATAACGTCATTCGATATTCGTGTTATATATATTCAATAATTATGTACAATTCAGTACTAATCTAGTTAAAAGATCTCTTTTTTTATTTGTGTCCTCCTCTTCCCCTCCCCTCGTTTTCCTTTGATCTCTATCTCTTTCTCCCTCTATCGCTTCTATCGCTTAAGATATCTTGACATACTAAATTCCCTGTATTCTTCCGAATTTGCATCGCGTAATGCGCAGTTACGATAAATTTGATAAGCATAGAGCGACTGCTTTTAAACGTTCCTTCTGTCGTATCACAAGATAATCAGTTACTTAGATACTACCTAATTAGTATACATACTTGCGCTCGCTTCCCGGTTAACTAGTGAATATCCAATCGCTTTTTACCGATTCATGCGGAGTAATACATTTCTTCTGTTACACAAACACACACCTATGTATATGCTGTGTATCGATAAGTACGCGCAATCAGGTGGCACGTGCATGCGATTTGCGTTAGATATCCAGCGCGGCATGCACATACATTGCACCATCGAAGTTATTACACAACACCCACGACATAGCGGGTGTCATTTATCCCGTTTCGACTGCACAAAACATTTTCTTTTCTCGTTGTTTTTTTCTTCTCTTTTTTTTTTTACTGTATAGACTTCGGACTTTAGATATGGTTATAGAAACTAATCGGATTTCTATAAGGATTAAGATTAATATATCTTGAGTCGAGAGAAACAATAGTAGTCCATTTGATATATCAATCGCGATAAAATGCTCGATGCGGTAGGATAAAAAAAAACAGATAAATGTTAAGTTCTGCGCAAGATTTGTCTACGTACCAACAATTTAGGAACAACGTGGCTGCTCCAGGGAGACATTGGCTACATTTCGCTGTGAATTATTTACAGAGAAAATGTTGGGCCTCAGCTGCCCACCGTTTCGTCAGTCACACGATAGGATCGTAAGATAGGATTGTAAAATAAACGCATTTTATGACACGAGTGTTCATTTCTCGGTGAGAAAACGGTACGTGTAAATCAGAATTTATAATTTTCGTTCTTTTTCGCGCGCGGACTTCTCGTATCGTGTAAATTAATGTACGAAGGAATTAAGGTATATCTAAGCATTTTATACGAAAGGAAGAACAGAATAGCGGAAATGTAAATACAGATGTAAATATCGTAATTATGATTCTCTATAACTCTGTTATAGCTTCGTAGTAATTATCGTTTTAATCTTACGTGTAAATTATGCTGCATGAATATCTCGTCGTTCACTAATATAACGTCGCGCATCATCCGTTCCTTACTTTTTAGTATATATCATAAAGCCAGCATAATTTACACGTGAATTTGCCAAAGTCACCTCTGCATCCAAGAATTCAACGGAGAATAGTTCGAGTATCAGTTGGCGTCTTACGAGCTACGAAATAGAGACTTTAAGACGTGCAGATAGAAACTGTGTTTCTCCTGGGGCTGTTTTGGTCTTTCGTTTTCTTTCTTTTTTCTCCGATAAATACGTTTCTCATCTTAAAAAAAAAAAAAAAAGACCGAACAAGGGAATAATGCTCGGAAGAAGAAACAATAAATAAGTACATGAGCGGCATTCTCCCGATCTTCATTTCCGTCGGTTATGCATTAAAAATGAAACAGTGTGCAGCCAGACAAGATAACTGATTAATTTGTTGTTAGATTAATTAATTACTTAGACCGCAAATTTCTACATCTTAAGCTAAAGATTCGGTTTCATCTCACCCGCTGAGGTGGCCTCTCATTCGCTTTAGTATCAGTATTTTATAATCTCATGCGTGAGAGCCCCTCGGAGCGCGTCCAGTCTATTAAATCGGGCGTACGGCGCTATATGTGCAGAAAATTTTGGCTTCCCTTCAACTTCGAATAGTCATATAGTGACAGTGACTTCGTGTCCGCAGACCGAAGACGAATGGGAACGGATTGTTGTACCTTTCTGTCTGTCTCTATCAAGGAAGGGAGACAGAACCGTTTCCTCTCTCTTGCGCGCGTTTCACTGGAATCCTCCTTCCTAATTTCCCGGATGTGCCAGCGCGAGCCAATAAATATGCGAAACAATTTAAATACAAGGTCAACGTACGCAGAAGGAGGCCCCTAATCCTCTTTGTTCCAGCTGCGACGACAATCCGTTACCCAGCGTCGCTGCATATCAGCGGCGAATCAGCGGAACGCACCACGTGTCCTACTGGAAGTGAAGTCTCCTCGACCCAGTCCAAATCACGTGACAAGGCCCGTGACGTAGCGCAGGGTCTAGGGCGGAAAAAGCCTTTTAGAAGTTCTGCTCGCCGTACATCCCGGGGAACCGGACAGCGTGTGCTCCGAGCTCGGCGGGCGAGAACTCGTCCTATGTGGCCAAGTGAGCGAACTGACCAGGGTGGGGCGCGAACTGGTAAGGGTGGCCGTACGGCGACATGTGGTACGGCACGATGTTCATACTCGCCATCTTGTGCTCCTTCTTCCACTTCATGCGCCGATTCTGGAACCAGATCTTTATCTGACGCTCTGTAAGACAGAGGGCATGCGCGATTTCGATGCGACGCCGCCTCGTCAAGTAGCGGTTGAAGTGGAACTCCTTTTCCAGCTCCAGGGTCTGATACCTGGTGTACGAAGTCCTTTGCCGTTTCGTCTCGCCGTTGGCATTCACCGTACCTGGAAGTCAAAGGGACTCGTTATTGCGCGAGATACAACGGACACGGGTGGTGCTGAACAAGCGTGAAGTTCGTGGAAATAATCGATAAGTCACAACCGGACGAATCGCAGCGTCCATAATTCCAGCGCGTATGAAATAGCTCTACGTACTAATTCGCAGGTACAAAGTAAAACGTTTGGAACGTGCTACTTCTCAAAAGGTAGATTTTATCGTGAGCGAGCAACGAGTGGAGAAGCGCGAAAGGTTGAATAAAAGATGGGGTTGAAAGCACAGAGACAGAGAGAGAGAGAGAGAGAGAGAGAGAGAGAGGGGGGGGGGGAGAGACGATGCATATTACTAAGAGCCACGGCGTGCGACGCGTGACGCCCTCGTTAATTATTTTAACGAGTCGTGGTTAATGCCTCGGCTAGTGCTACTGGATTGCAAACTGGTCACTTGGCAGCTGCTTTACCTATTTGCGCCGCACGCCTCAACCATAAATAATTTTGCAACGCTATTATTACGATACCGCGGCTATTACACGTATTTCCTGAGCGTGGCAAAAATTGTCGCCAAACGACATCAGAAATAAGCCACGTCTCAGTCTCTCAATTCCTTTGTTCTGTGCGACAACGTAGTGTGCGTAAATCAATTTGGCATTGGCGGATCCATTTGTTAAATGGGATTGGGTAAAGTGAAGTGTAATATTAACGACAAACTAGCCATTAGCAATTTGCGCTGCATAAAGTAAAAAGGAATATGTACATATGGTACTATAGTCACCGAAATAAATAAGGAATACTGCAATATCCAAAAAGCTCGAATAATGTGTACAAAACGGATGGAACGGATGGAACGGTGGAAAAAACTAATGTTATCCCACAATTGAATTCGATGTGAGGCAGATGGATCGCACCTTTTCACTGCTTTACGATTTTCCTCTCATGAAAATATTTCAGACGGTACCCGTACTGCTGTATCGTCGACGTGACCAATATACCAAATAACTTGTGCCCCTCCGACTAACATAGGCTCCGGTTTGATGCTTCAGCAGGTGTTACGCGAGTAAGGGTGCGTTTTTAGGTTCATTGTGAGCACGGGTCATTGCGGATATTAAAGAGCCGGCTCATTTACAGCTATAATGGATAGCTATTAATAGCGCGGGACAAGGGAGAGAAGTTGATGAGTCGTGCAGATAAAGATGCGGCTAAGCAGGAAGTACTACCATGCGAATGCGCGCGTGCGCGCGCGCACGGCAGCAAGAAAGTCGCGCAACAAATGCGCCATTTATATAAACCTTCGCTGATTCATAGTCGAGCACACGTGCGGAAATGTACGATAGTAGGATGTACAGCAGATCGAAGCCCGCGCTGCTGCAGATATGAATAAATATTTGTCAGTATTGCTGAGAAAGTGCGTAATTTCTGATTAGCCAATGTTCTCGCGGCATCTTGATCATCTGCGCGCGATATCAGCGATAAGTCGTACGGTAGTGCAAGTAATACGTCTGAAAATTTATTCCACGAGCTTGAGCAACGAGCCTGGACACTTCCGGGCGAGCGAAAAGCTCTTTCGCGGAGGATGGTTAATCGGCGAACATTGAACAACGAAGCTCCTACCGGGCTTAATGACTGGACCCTTCACCCGGCGTTATCGCTTTCCTCCCGATGTAACACGTCGCTGGGTCGCGCGCGACGTGACTTTTTAATAAATAGTGTTCTGGCTGTCTGAACACGGGACTTGTGCGGTCTGCATATCGTTTATCCGACATACCTGTCTGCTTTGTAACCGACAAACCGAATTCCCTTTTTCATCCACTCATTATATTCCACGACATTGCTGTTGTTGTTGCGTTGTTGACCAAAAGAATTGCTAAGTCGGTGTTTCCAGTATCGATTTATCAGTACCCGAAATTGTTGCGTCGTGCAACTCTACTGACTGAGACAAAGTCAAACCAATCGCCATTATTTATTATCGTCCAGCTTTTTTATCGTTCGCATGCGTCACTTTTCTTTCGATGTTAAATAAAATGACCGTGGCTGAAAAAATCCAAATATATGTTTCTCTGAAGCGTGCACCCTTGATCTTTTCTGGTGATAAATTGCTATCTGTATCTCGTCGACATCGATACAACGCACGTTGATGTGTAAAGGAATGTACCCGGTGAAGGTTGGTGAGAAAGTTCCCGACGATGCTCATACGCGATTGAAATATGCCTCTTAGACGCACCGTGTTAATCCTTCCAGCTAATACTGCACAAGAGAGATCAGGATAGGCTCGCTACGCTTTGCTTGCTGCCTACGACGCAGCAGTAGGAGTTTTTATCGTCGCGGCAGAAATATGTGCTAGGATAATAATCCCCAGCGTGCGCGCGCGTGCGGTGGGATTGTTGAATTGTCGGACATTATTTAATCTTCGATGCGATCGTGATTGATTCCTTTTTATTATTATCATGCCTCCGATGCATTAAAGCGCCGTGGTAATCGCTGACCCGATTAAATTTCACGCGTGTCAGGCACACCTGTTTAATTAGCATTTAGATTTTATCTGGCGTGTGTGATCTTGGTGGTTATTCTCGCACTATAAATTCTAAAGCATCAAGGGGAGTACGAGCCAATATGTTATTGTAACGTGAATTTCCGTAATCATACGCATGGCTTGCGTTATATATCTCCAGGTAATAAATTTCGCAATCGCATCGGATCTTAAGCAGATGCAATGGGAACACTTCCTACGTTCGTTCTCGTGAGGACGCGAAGGATTTTCTTCTTGCATTTTCGTGGTGAACTCTCACCTTCGTCAAGGAGCAACGGAGAGGCTCAAGGCACCCTCATCGTAAGTATATCGCCCAAGTAAGAATAATCATCGCGGTGTGAAGCAGCGTTGCCGGTATAAATTGAACAGCTTCTGCGTCAGATTGCTCGAATACCGAGCTCTCAAATAATCGGCGGTGACGCTCGAGTTGTGCTCATCTCTGCCATCTATTATTGAATCTCGCACACAAACAAATACATTTGATTAAATTAACACGATGGAATGAACGGGCCAAATGCATTTTGTATGAAGAGAACAGAATTTCTGATTCTTAGGGTTGAATTTGGTTTGGTAAGAACTAGAAACTCTGTTATCTTCAGTCAAAATGCATTCGGTTCGTTGGTTCGTCACATTGATTTAATCAAACTGTTTTTTTTGTGCAGCGGCTAATTTTGTCTGTTACGTCTTTTAAGAAACTGTGAGTACTAAAATAATAAATAACTGCGTAATAATAAATAATACTATAATTAATTGAGATACTATACATGTTTAAAGACACCAATTACGGTACTCGAGTATCCCTGGGTGACATTGGATAACTAGATGTTTGGAAAATACCGGAAAGATTTGCTTATCTGGATTATAACCGGATGTCCGTATACTGTCATCACTGATATGAACGGCTGAACGACGACACGCATACTTGCTTGGAAATCTTGTGAAATTACTTTTAGTCGTTGATTACCTGTCTTTCTGTCAGTCAATCGGTCGCAACTGATTGCTAATATTGCTAACTGGCATTACGTTATTTATTATACTTATACCGTGCAGTAATCTCAGAGGAGCAACAACCATGACGTTTAAACATTTACAGCCATAAGATGGATCCGAAACATGCATGATACGTTGTATAATAATATATTTCTACATAGATGAGAACTGTTCTTTCAATATTTCAGGATTTGCTGTTTGATGTTTGTTCAATATATTAAATATTTGTTTAATATACTAAAATTATTTCTTTAAAAATCTTTACTCGATAAATTATTGTTTCACAAGTTCTTGACACAATCGTAAAAGTTATCGATTATATTAAATTCCTCTCCGTTACGTGTTAGAAGACGGATAAAAATTTAAGTGGAACAAAAACGTTTAGCATCTTTAGTCGTGCAATGAAAGATGTGCGGAGAAGTCGAAGAAGCCGGGGTGCGCGTGTAGTCGTCGTTGTTGTAAGACCGAGGCAGGCTAAGCGCAGGGCCGTGTCGTGTCACCCATCTTGATGTCACCTCGTGTCGTCTAGCGTTTTCGTGCCTCGCTCTTAATAGAATGCAGAGCGTGCGTGTATTTGCACCGAAGCCTGTACCAAACGTGTCACCGACTGCCAGTCTGACGACTGCCTTGACTGCCTGACTGACAGATCGGCTGGTTAAGACCGACTAACACGTGACCGGGATAATCCCACGCGACAGTGTTCACGGTATGTCTGATTGATCTTCTCGGTTTTTAATACACATTCAGATGTTTCCTCGCCGTGCTTTGTTTAATCTTCAAACTTGCAGGTTTCCTTCACTGTCTGTGCGATATATGAATTTGACGTAAATTTCATGCGACGCGATCTGTAAATGTGTGTGGATAATTAATACAGTGCAATAATAGTTCATAAATATTTTATTTACTCGATATTTGATATTTTATTTGTTAGATACTCGTGCGATTCACATTTAATTTATAATATCAGTTATAATAATTATTTTTTACACAGATCATAATTTAGATTGTTGCATTCCTCAAGTGCGTGTGGGTATATTTGTGTATAGATGTATAAGCGCAGTATATCGGTCGGGAGCAAGTTCTAAGAAAGTATATATAGAATTCTTGCTACCCCCTAACCCACGGAACGTATCTGAGTGGTTATCTGATACGAGTTCAAGCACGACCGTATCAATTCTTTTCATCTGCGCGATCGACTTAGGAATTCCAAAGAGGCCAATAAAAATTCGTAAGTTTCGCGACGTAATGAACAGCGGAAGTGGTCTCGAGTCCTGATGTCATTAAAGATATCAGTCAGACGTCAATTTGTTACAGACACTCATTGTCGCGTTCTGATTAAAGAAGCACGATTAACCTAATCCAACCACGCCTTAATCTGATATTTTTCGACCATTCGCGATGAGACGCGACGATACACATGCAACGAGCAGCGAAATATGGAGGATATCAATTGCGCAATGAGAACTAGACGATTTTGTTTACAACGTAAACGCCA